TCACAATTGATACTCCAGTTCATAGGGTGCAGAATAAGTAACGTAAGGCCTAACACGTTAGTCCAGCACCTCCTCCAGAACCCCTTTACCTGGCAGATAAAACCCCTGCCTACTGCGTGACCCCAGACTCCTCCTGCTCCTTAGTGTGCTTTGGGGCTGAAGTCAATGTTTGCAGAAGTGCTTTCTGAACTCCAGGTGCTTCAGCCATGGAGGTTACTGCAGGTCATCTCCTCCCTAGCAGTGGGGTGTTGACTGCCACCTCCCTGGGCTCCCAAGTTCAGTCCAGCAGGGACCCTACCCCACTGAGGAGTAGAAGGGGAGTCCCCTCATTCATTCATTCAAGTTCTGCCAACCAGTGCCTCAAGACAAAAAATGGCACTTTGCATCTGATTCCGCAGTTAAATTGTCCACACAGCCCCAAGCTAAATGTGGCCCCGACAGCAGGTGGGGCTCAGACACAGGCTGGGAAGGTGCCGGCTCTCTTGATTCAACCTTAAACTCCACAAGGACGTGGGCCAGCCCTGAGGTATCAAGCCCTTGTCCCCACACATCAGTCACCCGGTCTCCACTGCCACCTGCCCTGGCTCTGCCCACTCACAGCTCTCCAAAGAGGGCAACTCCAGGTTCCAGGCGCTTCGGGGGCAGCTGCTGGGCAGGTGGGCACCACTGTGGGGTGGCTCCCCAGTCTCCCCACAGAGCCAGGTCACCCAGGGGCTCCGGCCCTTGCTGGGTCCTCACAGCACTCAGCAAGCTCCCTAATTATGGTGCCTCCTGAGCTCACCAAGTCCTGGGGCTCATGACCCTAGGACCACGGATGTCTCTGTCACTGGCAAGGGCCATGAGCTGCAGGCCCTCAGCCCGCCGCAGGGCGCAGACCACCTGTGTCTGGGAAAAGCGACTGCAGAGCCTGGCCTGGTGTAGGACCAAAGCTTTGGCTTCCAACAATGCACACTGCTGGAAAAACGGCTCAAGATGAACAGTAAACAGACGAGGCCAAAGTCGCCAAGCCTGTGCTGACCACATGAAGGGAGGACAGCCACCTCCCTACTCTGCATCTCCCTTTCTGGCTGCTTCACACCTCAGTGTAAAGACACCAAGGTAATAATCTACAGTTGGAGCCTGGTTTCGACCCCAAGGGTCAGCATCAAGGGGTGGGTGGAAGCCCCAAGTGGGGCTACTGGGCATGGCCGAGGGACCACAAGCAATTACATAGCAACTGCAAGCTTGTTTCCACAGCCTGAGCAAGTCCTCCCTCCCTCTGCAAGGTGCAGCCTGTGTGCTTGCAGGGTGCTGGGAGAAAAGGAGACTGTGCCACCCCAGGGATGCCCAGGTGGACTGTGTGTGGTGGTGCACGCCTAATCCCAACACTCGGGAGGCTGAGGCAGGATCACCCTGAGTTTGGGGCCAGCCTGAGCAATACAGCAAGGCTCTGTCTCAAAAAAGATGGGGGTGAGGGGAATTTCTAAGTTATCCCGGGAAGCCCAGAAACAATGAGTAGGGCTCACACTCAAGTCAGCCTCCAGGAAGAAAGTGCAGGGGACACTGAATGGACCACAGGCACAGGCCAAACCTCCCCTGAACAAACAGGCTGACAGCCGCTGTGGTGGCCCTAGTGTCTGAACCTGGCACTTGCGGCTCTCTGCACCACATATCCTCCTTCCACAAGGCTGATGCAAACTCAGATGCTCGAAAAGCCAAATGCCATAACCTACAGAGCTTCCTCACTCTGGGAGCCCTCCCAGCAGGTGAACGCTCGCCTGAGCCTACCCACTCCACCACTTCTGGGCTGGACCTCTGCTGCAGGATGAAGCAAATGAAGTAAAAGCAGTTTAAGATACAGCTTTAAAGGTGAGCTCCAAGTCACTGCTAAGGAGCTCCTAATAGGGTTCTCAGCCCCAGTGGGCAGGAAGCTGAACAACCCCTATGGCTTCCCACCTCTGACCTACATACACCAATGCCAGTTTTCCTGGGGCTGCATGGAGGATCTGCAGGATCAGTTCTAGGTGCCCTGGGTACCCCAACTGAAGACAACCTGGGGGTCCCAAACAATGAGGAGGGAATGACAGGAAGGGTAAGGAGCCTCCTGAATTTCAGGCACACATTTAGAGTTACCAGCTCAAAACTTATCTATGGGCCTAGGAGATCCAAGACACCAGCCTTAGATGTCAATGACAATGACCCCCAGTCCTATCCTGGCCCAACTGGCTCCACTAACACATGTCCCCTGGAGTAGCTTGCTGCTTTGAGGCAATGACTCAACCTCTCTGAGCCCATGATCTCCTCACCTGTAAGAGCCTTCACCCAGCCAGGCCAGGGTCCAGAGCTGCGTCATCACTGCCTGGACACGCGGGGCTGAGCACATCCGCGCGCTCTGCACTGTTTCACAGTTTAGCAATTCCTTGTGATTCGTCTCACAGGAGTTGGGATGGACGTAACCAAAAATGGAATGGTTTCAAAATTTTAGGTCATGAAATTCCAATCTTCACGTTCTCCAAACAAACTCAATGCAGGAAATTTCAAAGTCATAAACAAATAATAAAATAAAATAAAGAAGGGCTGGCCAGACAGCTCAGCAGACTAAAGCACCTGCTTTGGCAGAGCACAGTGGCTGGGGTTCAATCCCTGGCCTGCTGTGCCAGCCCAGACCCTCAGGCACACTGAGATAGCCATTGAGACTGAGTGTGGTAATGCCTGCCTGTAATCCCAGAACTTGGGAGGCTAAAAACAGGAGAATCACCACGAGTCCAACCGACAGAGTGAAACCATGCACACCCTGTAGAACCTGTCCTAAATTCTTAAAAAAATAAAATTAAGGAAGCAGATTTCAGATTCACTGCAACATGACTTCCCCACCTTAATCTGTATAGAAATCACCTGAAGATTTCATTAAAACACAGGTTTGGCCACAAGCAGGGAAGTGTGAGCAAGAGAGACTGTGTATTTCTAAGAGCTTCCTGAGAGGCTGAGGGTCTGGGCAACCTTCTGGAACAGCAAAATTGTACAGAATCCCGTAAATAGCCAGAAATCAACCCAAGAAGAGGCCAATTTGATGCACAAAAGCTAGAGGACTCTGGGAAGCAGTGTGCACCACGCAGGCAGTGGGTACCTGGAAAAAGACTAATGAGACAGGATAGCGGGCTTGCCTGGGCCCAGTGTGTGGACTCCACACTCTCCACCACCCAGCAGCTGATGTTCCCTGCAGCACACCTCAGACAAAGGTCTGAGAAGCAGCACAACAAAGGACGCCAAAGCATTCCAGGGTGTCTCAACTTGGCCACCACTGCTGGGCTGGCTGACCTGTCTTCAAAGACCTTTCTAAAATCAGTTTTATTTCCCCCTGTTCATACCTCCAAACTGACGCTGTTACTGTTGACAACTGTCATTAAAAATTGCTCAGGAGTAGTACAAGGGAGTGTGACTGTCAGGGAAGGGTATGTTTACAGTAGGAAGGGAGGGAATCGAGGAAACCTCCCTCCAGGCTCTGAGCAGCAGGATTAAAGTTAAATTTTGGATGTTCTTTGGCTCATAAGCACTAACACACAAGATCCTCCACAGCCCCTGAAATGAATTTCTTGGAGCAAGTCTGCGAGGTAATCCTGTCTCCAGCTGCTGTCTACCAGGCCAGGCCTGACTTAGAATAACACACATGTTTGTTACAGTTCCTGTCATGCCCGTCTGCTGGGCTCACGCTCCAGTCATTCCAAGCCAGGCTGTGATGTCAAGCGCTTCAGGAGCCGCCCCAAACTGCTGAGTGTGCACGCCCAGCCCCGCTAATGGGGAGAAGCATGCTCAGGCAAGAAATGCCACAGCAGGACTGCCACCTGCGCTGCCGGGGCCCATAACTCATCCGTGCAATCACCAGGCCTCTGCCCTGCTCCACACCCTGGCCCAGGTGAGCCTATGGGTGCTCCTTACCAGCACAGTCCTGACCTCATCCACTCGTCTGGAAGAGCAAAGCTCTGCATGAGCCGGGTCTGGCCATCTGACTAACGGAGGACTTGGGTTTTTCACAGGCCACCTTGTTTCTTGGACCACAGCAAGCCTGGCCTCATGGGAGCACTATGTGAGGGGACAACAAAGAACACTCTTCCTGTCCCTCTCTTTCCCCCAGAGTGGGAAAGGCCTATCCCAAAAAGGGAAACTGAGGTTGCAGCCCACCCAAGGTAACGCACAGAGGTGGAGTCCACGCTGTCACTGACCTCCCCAGGGATCTCCTTATGAACTTCTTATGAATGTTTGCCTGCATTTCCTGCCTGCTCCCCACTCTGGCTGGCCCCCAACCTCAGTCCCACTACCCACAGACACCTAACACCAAATGCCCCCTAAACATCTGGCCACGCGCCCGGCTACTTCCTGATTAAGCAGATGTCCACCACTTCAGCCTGTGCCAGGACACCGAACACCTGCGCACAACTTGAGCAGGCAAGTACACGCTTTTATCCAACGCCAGCAAATTCACCTCCGAACTGGGGGAATTGGTCAAGATTTCCCTTCCCGTCCTCCGCTCCCGGGGCCTGGTTCAAGGAGACACAACAATAATTTCCCTTCATAGTTAAGAGGAAAGCGCGCTTCCCCGAGCTGCACAACCCCGAACTTCTCCAGGGACTCAAGTGGGTCTGCTCCCAGCACCGGCTCCATCCCCACCCACAACTCCCTGCCGCCGAGGAGCACGTCTATGGGTCTGGACCGGGTTTCGGGAAGTTTGTGATCGCTCCTTGCTCTGGGAGGGTTGGTTAAAGTGCTCCTGCAATTACCAGCTCCGGGCAGAGCACAGGTGCAGCGCTCCCAGTCTAGGGTCCTGTACAAACACATGTGATTACACTCTCTCTCACGACCCTTCCTCTTTCGCGTGTCCTTGTGTGGTTCGGGATCCGGTCCCGGACCGCAAGAACATCTGGCGCGCGGGGGTGGGGGGACCAGCACGTCCTCCAAACACCAGCCGGCTGGGGTCCTAGGCAGGGGCGCGGGGAGGAAGGTGGCAGCGCGCGCAGGACACTCACCGGGACCTCTGCAGCTGCTCCAAGGCGCCAGCACCGCCGCCCGGGCCCGGCTGCTCCAGGGAGGTCTGCCTGGAGAAGGCGATGGGCAGGATCCCCTGAGTGAACGAGTTGAGGCGGCCCCGACTGCCGCTAGAGCTGCCGGGGGTCCCGGAGCCCAGAAAGGCGGCCGCCGGCACCTGCACGCCAGCGAAGGCGTCGTCCTCCTCCAGCTCCTCCTGCCCCGGCCCCTCGGGCGGCTGCAGCTGGACGCAGGCGGTGGGGGGCGCGGGCCGGGGCGGCAGCGACAGCTCCCCCGACGCGCGGGGCAGCAGCCAGGGCTGCGGGGC